TTACATATGGTAAATTCATCTACATGGTATGGTTTGTAATTTTTGTGTCCTTGAAAAGAATTTGTAGAAAATTGTGCAACTGTATTAACATTGTACTCCTGTGTAGCTCAAAAATAACATCTCCTTGGTTGTGTGGCTTTGGAAATACATTGCCAATTTGTATGACACCAAAGTTGTTGTAACTGTGATATGAGATGGGTGGTGGTTGCCTTTAAATTGTTTTGGGGAGAGGAGGGGGAATTGAACGAAGCTTCTCCTCAAAGGCTCTTCTAGCGTGAGAAATGTTTGAAGAAAAATCTGTGTTTATCACGTCCTTGAAAAGGACAAATCACAAAGAGCAGAGGCAGGAAGCAGGGTGCTGCTGCTGCAGCTGAACCCCAGCACACTCATTCCTTCTGTGTGTTTGGGCTGCAGCGACTGTGTTAATTGTGGCACACGCCATCAGATATTATCTTGTAAATACTTCCTTTAAATTACGTTGCCTCTGTATCTGGTGAAATGTGACTAATAGGAAAGAAAAGTGTTCCTGGAATGCATTTCCTTTTATCTTTAAGGCTTTCAACCATCTTCCTGTCTTTTCATTCTGGAGTGAAGAATACAGTTAAATAATCCAATGGGATGTCTTGGAAGGCTGTGAGGGTCTTCAAAATCCACCAAATTTGTGAGTGCTTGTATACTTCTTATTGTGCTAATAAAATCTCTGGAAACTAATTCAGTTTTGTGAAAAATATCAAGAGTCTACAGTTTTGTAATGGCCAATGAAGATGTTCAAATACTCTGTAATGGGCAAGACAGTTACGGGATGTGAGATTTAGTGCTCTAGCTCCTTATTGATCTTCCCTGAGCTGATTGCACGGCACAAGCATTTGCACTTAGCACCTGCTCTTTCTACATTAACACTCCCTTCAGGAATGTTATCAAGGGGACTTTGGAAATAACACTTGATGCTAAACTTAAGTATCTAAGGAAATATATTTTTTTAATGTATCTGTTTTATTTTGCCTTTTACTTTTGACTGCTGTTCTTTTGAGTGATATATTAACACTGAAAATTCTCGCTCACTTTTTAAGTATCCTTAGTACACACTGAATAATTCTACCATTACCTATTAAAATTTTTATAGACCAGAAATCCTGCGAATCTCAGTGTTTTCTGGAAATGGTGAAAAGCTGCAAGAAAATTAATTGCATCTTTGATCTTGGTGGTGGTTCTGGAAAACGTATTCGTGTTGCCTGTTCATGTGTGTGTTTGGAAGACCTTTGTCTACATCTACAGAAGTTATAAGCCTGTTGCAAAGGTTCCAAATTTGCATCTCAAGCCCTTGGTTTTCATTCTAGAGGTCCTTGGTTCATTCTCTGGTTGCTGGTCTGTGTGTTTGCTCTTACTTTGCTAAACTAGTTAGTTATTACACCCTGCTGAGGGCTGTGCTGTTCCACGTCGCAGAACGCAATGCTTTCCAGAATGTTGGGGTGATTCTTAACAGTTCTGTGTTTTCCCTTGGGCCATTTAAGGAGAACCAGCACCGTGTATACCACAGTGTATTTCCAGCTCCTAAGGCCACACAGCTCTAGCGTCCCGTGTTCTGGTAGCAGACTGCAGTAGCAGTTAGGCAACATCAGTAACTTTGTGGTGTCATTACACGAGAGGTCTACAGGCAGCAGTACCAAGTGTATCCCTTGTCTCAACATTAACTCTTGTTACCATTCGTGGTTTTATTTTAGCTGTTTCTAATCTTTATCAAATCTTTTCTCTGTTAAAGGCTTAGTATTTCACAACTGGTCAAGCCCACTTGCCCGCTTGGGGCTGGGTGGATAGGGGTCTTTTTGCTGTGTCATGCAGAATCAGTTACTGGTGATGCTCACTAAGGTTTCTGTCTGCTGATACTTTGGAGGTAAGAACTGGTTGATTAAGAAATCTTGTTTCTTGGCAACTACTGGTTATTTTTCTGTGAAACGACGCAAAGAATGGCTTGCAGAAATGGCCTGGTGTCCTTGCGTATTCCTTGTGATTCACAAACTCGTTGATCTGAAAGTTTTGAACATGTATGCGCTTGTGTCCGTATGTGTAAGAGGAAAACTGAAAAACTGGAGATCTGATGGAAACTTGATCATTAGTTTGAATGTTCTTATGTCTCACCTAACACAGCTGATCCATTTACCAACTGGTACCTGCTCAAAGAGGATGCACAGATGATAAAGGGAGCAAGAAAAGGATGATGGTAGAAGTTTGACAGGTATAGTGAAGAGGCTTATAGGCATTTTGTCAGCAAAAAGTGGCTGCGCTCAAATGATTTATCATTTCAAGTTTTTATTATGATTACTTAGTGTTAATCCATGTGTGACAAATCTACACTCAACTGGGTAAGAACATTGCCAGTTCTGTTCCATTAACAGCCACTGGCCAAAGGAACAATGTTCCTGTAGGTTAAAACAACAATTAAGGGGCCCTTAACACGTCAGGGTGGGGAGAGAGGGTGTACTGGTAGCAAAGACATTTTTCACACATTGCTGAGCTGCTTCAATGCATAAATTAACTCTTAGTTCAGTTACATCAGTCAAGTGTGTTGTGCGTGTGCATGACTGCTCTGTGTGTGTGTGTGAACCGAAACCTGGACCTGGTGATTTATGAGGAAGGGTAAAGGAGGTTGCACTTAGTAAACGAAGCCAAACAGAACCTTTGCAGGAAGGAATATCATATAGTCTTTTAGACAGCTGCTCAGTTACAAATACTGGTGTTAGACCTGAGGTCTTGGTGTTACGGTAGGTTGTTCATTAGGGAAGATTTTTCATGACCAGATCACTTCAACTGCATCCCACTGCTTCTGTAACTGGGCTGGTTTGCTCAGTGGGAGAGCAAGATGCACAATGGTTACATTAAATAACCAGCAAACCTTATTGGTGTATAGTCAGGAAATGGATTTGTGGGCTTTCAGATATCGTTAGAGAGTCATAGATAACTTTAATAGGAGTTTATGTAGAATAATAATAATCATGCAAGGTTTTGTCCTTAATATGAAAATGTTTTTGGCATATAGTATGGGGTGAACTGTGATCTGCCAAGTGTAGTACCATATGATCCTGTATCTGCTGGTATTTTTGACAGGCTGCAGTATAGAAAGAATGTAGCACAGACAAGGCTTTTTGGTAGGACTTGAGTATAATGAAGGGCAACCTAGAAATACAACCTTTTCTTGTGAGTAAATGGTGCTGTAAAATTGGCCAGTCCCTTAAGATCTCTTAATGAATGGAGTTTACAGAAATAATTAGATTTCTGAAATCTAATGTACGTGATAATGGAGAAATAAAAGCTGTAACAGTGTGTTTAGAATGTATTTTTTATTACTCTAGGTTCATTTCTGACGTAACTGATTTTAGTGAGCCTCCTGAATGGTCTTGGTTGCTATGAAGTTTTAACAGCTAAGAGTTGGAAAGCCTTATAGTTTAAACAAATGCCAACTTCAAAATCACATTCCTGCCTTAAGACAATATCCCAAATTTGGTGTAGTGGGGTTTTTTATATTTTTTAATTATTTTTTTAAAACATGAAAGAATGTGAGGAGCTAAGGTTGAGGAAGTTCCTATAAAAGCAGTGGCTTTTTTCTATATGGGGTCTTTTTGTGTCACAAAATTTTTACTATATATTTAATCTTCCTCCTTTATAAAGCCATTGAGCTCTCACTTCAGAGCACTAGCACTTTTCTCCATGCATGACTTGAAAGAAATCCATGTTTTATTATAGTTGATCATAAAAAAAAGGATGGAAGAGAAGCACAAGCCTTAATGTACATTCTTATGTGTGGAAAAAGCACTGCAAACCGAAAAACGTAGGTGCCTGTGTTTTACTCGTTGTGGTCCAGAGTCAGTGTTATCAAAGGTGCAAATGCTGGAGCGGACAGTTAGCAAAACTTGTTAGGGTGAAAAGATTGGTCATTTGGTGAAAGTCAGTAATCAGGGGACGAAAAAAAGGGTGCTTGTGTCTCCTCAGAGAGCAGGAACGTGCCTGTTGGAAGTTTCAAAATACCATCTTTCCTGAAAAAAACAACACTTTTTTTAGGGAATGGGATGGGCATTTCCAGAATAGCGAGTTCATAATGTTTTTTGGCAGTCTACTAATTTGAATGAAGCATAGATTTTAACTGCTCGTCAGAGTGAGTTCCTGTTGTGTAACTAAAAGCTAATGTCCTTAGGTGTTTCATAGGCACTGTTGTATCTGTCATGTCTTGGACCTGTATGGGATGCTGCTGCAAGTCCAGAGGGATTGCTTGGTGTTGTGACACTTTCTTCAAATTCAGGAGGAGAGCAGGGCAGCAAACAGGGTTATGTTTTTAGAGGTGAATGCTACTTGCATTGACTTAAGTCTCCTTGTGTTAACAAACGCGATTCCTTCCATAAGTTCTTCAGTGTGTTTTGTGCTAAGGACTGCGGGAAAACCCCAGACTTTTGCTTCTTAATGTTGTCAGTGTTTTTATGTGTTAGAAATGGTTGTGACATTGCAGCCTGAAATTTGTTGGCGGAACTAATTTCAATAATATTTCCATGATGTTTTGATAAAACCAGTTTTCATACCGCGCTGTTTCGGCCAGGACAAGGATCTGTGAATTGGAGAGTGATTGTTGTGTTCTGACTTGTGTGATGATGAAACTAAGTGGGAATTCTTGATTGGAAGCACTAAGGCCTTCACAAGCCTTTGCAGCCTGGGTATTGTACTTTTGTCTTACAATTAAGAAAGAAATGAAACCTTTGGAGAATGGTATTGACACCCTGCAGGGAAATATGACAGCTGCAAAACTGTTTACACTGCCACGCTTCTTGGCCAGAAAATGTCATTAAGTCCCATCTTTCCCTTATAACACTTAATTTGATAGTAACAAACCATGTGTGTGTAACATAACTACAGAGTCTCTGCCTGTGACTTTGATGTGTATTAGCTGTGTTTCTATTACTTCTGCTCTGTAACTTACAACTCATTCCTTATATTGACATAAAGAAACTTAGGAAAAAAAACTGGTGTGTATAGTGATTGAGAGATTCCAGTTATTCTTCCACTTGCTGAATTTTACAAGTAACCATCTCATTAGTAAACCTGCTTATAATTAATAAATGAGCAGAAATTGTTAATGTCTGCAGTAAGTTCATTGCATGCTCTAAAAATGGCATTAGTGCTTCTGGTATTCATTCCAGTTAGGAGAGTCAGATATAATAGATCCATTAACACTCCCAGCAGCCTACAAAATAGGATATTTACAGGGATTTTCTCCTGTCTGAAGGCCCAAGTACAACACTTAACAAGGCTTCTTGAGCAGCGCATGGTGACACAATGACGATGCGCGTGGTGTCGGCATCGCTAATGGATATATAAAATTCACATTGGTTTTTAAAGTGTAAGAAATATAATACTGGTACCCGAGTAAACTGCTGCACTGGTAGTGAATTTTAAAATGTAAAAATCAGATTTAAAAAAATGGCTTTTTAAGATGCTTGATACCTTCCGGTAAAGGCAACTTTTTATTACTTAGGGGTTTATGTGTTGGAGGAGCCTATAAGCAATGCTTATGTAGCAGTATACTTACACTTACACATCAGCCAGCTGGTATAGCCAGATCCTCAGCTTTTCCTTTTTTTCATTTTTAAACTTTTTGGAGGTATTTTTGAGTAGCTTGATGTTTTTGACATCTGTCTGACAGCCTCTTGCATAAGAGATGAGCAGTGCGTTATACCACCCAGCTGTGTGTATTAGTCTGTACATCAGGCTGAAGAGCGGCACTTAGCCAGATCTGACAATCAAATGGGAACTTGTACTACCTATACACAAGAGTGCATTTTAATGTTGTGTGCTTTTTGCCAAGAGGCTGGTACTTGACAAAGAAATTGTCAGAACCTCTCTTCTTCCTACCTCTTTTCTGTTTTTCCTTCTCCTTCCACAAATGTGAGCCTGTGTTGAAATACATTATGTTTTTTCCTGCAGTGTATCTTACAGATAACAAAGCCAATCTAGTGTTTTCAGTGATTTTATGTAACAAAACCGTAGCAAGCTTTTTGTAATAGAGAAGCGGTGTTATTTTCGGATATGCATCAAATTAGTATGTCATTTTTTGTGACCTTCAGCTGAAGTCACTTCATGCTCGGTTTCACCAATGAGGTCGTGGCAATGTACCAACAACCTATCCCCAAAGAAGGCAGAGACCTAGTGAAATGACATTGCTGGTTCACAAGTCTCAGGCTGCTTAGGAGTCGGTGATCAGCAGAGAGGGAGTGCAGGAGAACTTCCTGCTCTTGTTGTAGTTTGACTGATCTGATAGCGTTATGGCAGATACAGTTTTATGATCTTTGAGTGCATTTTTATTCGTAAATATTTGCTAATGATTGAAGTTTGTAAATAAACCATCTTTGCAAACTAAAAGATAGAAGAAATAAAGGAAACAGTGTATTTTCTAGACCAGTTTTTACACTGTTGTTAAGCTGTAGTGTTGAGTTAGACTCTGGGTAGGTAAATGTGGGTGAACACGTCCTGGATTGGGATTGTTTGATTCCAAACCTCTGATGGCGTGTTTCAAGCAAGTTTCCAGATCTCGCGCTGCACAATTATTTGCATAATGCATACAGAGGTTTTATTTTTGTTAATAAAAATAATAATGCATTCTGGGGAAAATCAGGCTTTAACTTAGCAGATTCTTAGTGGTTGTGTTGAGTAAACATTAGTGGAGATATCCTCAGTCTAAAACAGAAGTGAAAAGGGAGTTAAGAGGACAAGGGAGGCAGAGAAAACGTGCTCTTCACAGCTGGTTTTTAGCACTCTTTCAACATTGAACCAGATTTGTGGCTGTCCCTGCAGTGGCAGGTCCTGAGCATGGCATTTTAAATATTGTCAGATTGTAGGGGTTTTAGTATGCAGTAGATGATGTTCTCTTTTTCCTTCATACGCTTGTTTCAGGAAACCTTGTAGAGCATACCTCACATTGTTTTAATAAAGTATTTTATTGAGCCATTTAGTGGGATATGAGCTTTGTACCTAATAGATCCACAAGTTGAACTACAGAATGAAATGAAAAAGAAATAAGAAATTGGTGCTAGAGTACAGAGTAGGCATAGTTCTGAGGAACACGACCTCGGAATGGATTTTTATCAGTGTAACAAGAACTGGTTTTGTAAAAAAGAATTTAGGAGGACAAATACCAACATACTCTAAACTACTTAACCTGAATTACTGCTTTGTTATCGGAAAGGAGGATTTTTTGCATCCTTATTTCCTTATTTAATTTTCCAGAATAGAAGGTAGTTAGAGGAATAATGGCGCATGTTTGTGTCTTTTAGATACAAGTTTTATACTTGGCTGTTCTTATCTTGGTTCTGAGTTTAATTTTCATTTTCAATTTTACCCCTCCAAAACAGAAAAGAAAGCTTCTAGAAGAACTTGGAGAGAATAGACTTCCATATCTGACACCAGCCGATGCTGATTTCCATCAGTTGGTAACGTATTTCTTTTAACTGTCCTTGTTTTAAACTGCAATGGCTGTTTGCACGGAACAACAAATAAATCTTTGTTCAAAGAGGCACTGTGAAATCTGGTATGAAAAAGGTATCCTGATTGCTGATAAAGATAATGTACTTTCAAGTGGAGCAAAATATGACCTCTAGAATTGGGGTATTCAGGAATGAAAACTTCGTGAACTACATTTATTTTTAAGATTTTGCCCTGCATCTCAGTACCTGAGTAGCACATAACACGTGTAGCAATGAATTGATTTCTTATGCACTGTTAAATAAAATACATGTCACCATTCTTTTAAGGCTTTTTGGGTTTGCTTACCCTGCCCCCCCCCACGCCCGAGTTGTGAAGAGAACTGTCTTTATAGCTCAAGTTGTGGCAAATGAGGGAAAATAATAACATAGACATTTGAATTTCTTTTGCTTAATTCTACTTTTAAACAGTCAGTAACCCTTAACGCTTTTCTTACAGAAGTAACTGTGGAAACCACCTCAAATGAAACCAAATAAAAGTAAAGCCAGACCCAGTAGCCACATGACTAGGAAACCAAATGTATGGAAGAGTATCAAAAAATTAATAGACTATTCTGCATCTATCCTGGATCATTTTAGGTCAGCTACAAAGCATATGGCAAGAACTGAGGGTTCAATCAGATCAAATCAGAACATGGTAGGATGAAAAGCATGAGAGAGAATGTCGTCGTTTGAACAGCTGCAGCAAGCATGCTTACATTACAGGCCTGTCACCTTTCTTGTATGGCTCAAAGATGTATATGGCAGCATAAAAATAGATCTGCCTCTCCCTGCAAGGATGAGTTTCTCTTTTGCAGGCTTCCAAGGCCAAGGAAAGTGAAGCACACATCACGCTATAGAAGAGGAAAGATGCTTTTATGGGTCAGGTACTGGACTGTGACTCAGAAGCAGGAAGTCAAACTCTAGTTTAGCCATGGGATCACAACTGTGATAGTGAGAAATCTCTTCTTCTTTTGGGTTGTAGGATGCTTAGGGAAAGCATGGTTTTCTTTGTGTTCTTACAGAGTGGAAATACGCTCTTGATTGGGGTCTTTAACAGCTCTAAGGATAACAATATGAAAACAAAAGCGCCCTTCTGTAGGTAAGGACAAGTAAAAGTTTAGAAGAGCTGGAAAAGGATAGAAGAGCTTCACAGACTGATTTTTTTTATTTATTTATTTTTCTTTATGAAAGAACCCCAACACCCAAACACATTCTTTTCAGTCTTAAACTGAGGTTCAAGAAGAAGCTCTTTCTCCTTTTGAGTCTCGGGTAGCTTACATTTTATTCCTTCCTAGTCTTGTTACATCCCCTCCTGTTTGTTCTCTTTTTTCATGTCTGTTGCTGCCAAGAGCTGCTCTGCCCAGCGTATTTTTCTATCTTTTTTCTATCTGTGTAAATCCACAGTCTCGTGCAGCTGACATGAAAAGAGAAGATGGAGCCAAGGTTGCCCAAGTGGTATCTCACTTTCTCAGTAGCCCATAAATACAGAAGGCAATGGGAACAAGATGATAGAGTTTAGATACTTTCTTTTTGCATTATCTAGAATTACACTTTTTGTGTTGTTCTTGCGTGCATGTTAAGTATCTCTAAGTATATGTGATAATCATAAGCACCTTTTAAATTCTTACAGTTGTTATGAAATGTTACTTTAATCACAGCTGTGGATGTTACAAGGTCCATGATGCTTAAATGTGCTACAGATGGAGAGGAAAAGATGGGTGAGAGCTTGAGGACAACGAATTGCCAAAATAAAGTATCACATATGGTTTAGTTTTATGGTCTGTCTTCCCTGGAGAGACCTGCCTTACTCCTGTAAGAATCCACCCCTTATAAAGCAGTGTTCTTTGAACGTGTTGGAAAGGTTAGGTGGGATGCAAGCAAAAAACTACAGTATCTTGTCAGGTATAGAAATGTACAGTCTGAACAAAGCTAAGGAATTACTTCACAAGCAAAACTTCACTGACATCCTCTTTCAGTGCATGTTGCCTGAGGAAGGATTTTAGGAATGGGCCCCAAACTGTAGGCTGCAGCAGTGTAATGTTTAAAGCCAGTTATGAACAAGAAAAAGTCTCTGAACAAGGCAATTCACAAATATTTGAAGTACAAACGGTCATTTCATGTTGTAAGTGGCAGTTTGCTTGTCAGGGTTCTTTGTTGCCAGTTTCTAACTTTATTCTATCACTTGGGTCATCCTGTAGGGTTATTCTCTGTGGGGACTACCACCTTTATTTTTAAAACATGTATATATTTAAAGTCATGCGTGTAAGATTCATATGAAGAATTGAGCATCAAATGTGCTGGTTTTGTGTCCTGCAATTGCCAGTAACATACTGGCTCTTTTAGAGCAAACAGCGAACTGACCTTCAACACTTGCTGTCCTGGTTACAGAGAGTACACCATTACTCCCCCTTTCCCATCCCCCAAAACAAGGTGTCCAGCGTGAACCCAGATTTGACCCTGTGTTCTGATCTCCTAATGCTTTCCTTATGTAGGACACAGCACAACGACTGGCTGGAGATTTAAAGACAACCAAACTGTTTTCATGTGATGTGTCAGAAATGTGTTTCCACTTCCTGATGCTTTCTAAGATATTAGTTTGGGTTTTGTGTGTGGAGGGGTTTTGTTTGGTTTTGGTGGTTGTTTTGGGGTTTTTTTGGTGTGTGGTTTGTTGGTTTTTTTTGGTGGTGGTGGTTTTTTTGTTTTGTTTTTTTTTTAAAGGTAGAATTATCAGTATACTGTGTAAACCTTAATGATAAAACAGTTCCTAAGCATGTGATATTAAAACACAACCCAAAGGTAACATGCCTCTGTCTTGGCTGGCAGCAAGAATGTGGAAGGCATTACCTCTGTGGTTCAGGGGGAATATGATGTTGCTACCTTTGTAAAATCTGTGTACTTTCTTTCTAGTGCATGTTTTCAGGTATTTAGTTCCTTTACATCATATTGTTATTTCCCTCCTCCTGTTTGTAAAAATTGTTTGGAATTTCGTGTGAGCGCTTTATATCAGAAATCCAGTTTATTAAATGGTTTAAAAATACATAGTACTAATGACTTTTTAAATATGCCTTGGTAGTGTATGTGATGGTTATTGGTTAACCTGACCTGGGTATGTCCAACGTACAGAATTATTTAAAGAAATACTAAGATGATATAGAACTGTTGAGGCTCTTTTATCCGTGTCGTTTGCATAATGAAACAAATAATGCAGTAATAATCTTTGTATGTCACAACATACAATGTTCTCTCAGTATTATGTGTGATTGTGAAAGACTGCTTATGATTCCCATCACCCTATACCCATGCACCTGACTGTAGCCTGTACTTGTAAAACCTTACAACTAGCAGTTACTGATTTCAGTAGTTACTCTTTATAAGGAGTTTTTCACTGTGCTGTTCAAAGGCTACAGATCTGAAGCACTGCTTGAAGCAAAGGGGACAGTTCAGGACCTCTGAAGGAATTGTTTCAGGCTTTTGGCAAGCTCAGGCAAGCTGCATTTATCAAGTTTATATTCAGATCTTTTAATGAAAGCTGGAATCCAGTGTTCTATGCTGGAGATTGTAGAGAGACCTTCAAGCAGTTGTCTGGGACTATTTTCAAGCTTTGATATTGAAAGTTAAGCATGTAAATACTGTTATCTACTATAAATACTATTATCAGAAATTATTATTATCCGTAGTTACTGTTACAGGGTTTTTTCCCCCCTGTTTCTCTCCAGGAAGTGAGTTGTTGGAAACTATACGAACGTGTGAAGGAAAGAGGTTAGCTTCACTTTAAAAATTCACAAGAAATGGTGGCAAGGTTTATACATAAATTAAGATTTATTATGGTCATTATTTTTAAGATAGACTTCCTTTTGTATTCCCTTTTTGAGTGGCAGTTAATGATCCTATAAAGCCACCTCTTCAGTGTTGTAGGGTAACAACTTGCTATGATGCAGAAGTCTAACTCTTTTCATGCAGCACTGACTTACTGCCTGGCTTGTGTTTTTTAAAGACACCTTTTCTGGATTTTAAAATTCATTTCCTGAAAAGCAGCTTCAAATCTGACTTGGAAGAAGATAATACTAGTAAAGTGGTTTTGATTTGTGCCAGAATGAGCCCGCAGATGGACCATAGGTCAGTGTGATGCTTTTGTGCTGGTGGCTTTGATATGTTCTTAAAAGCACTTTGAGCATAAGCTATTACGTTATTAAGTTTTGGTAGATCAGTTTCTTGCATCTGTGTACTCTTGCCCCATTGCCTAATGCCTTCAGATTTCACTTTATCTGTATTTTGTTCTTTCCTGCAGCACCATCAGTATCTGCCTTTTCCCTAGACTAGGAACTAACTTCTGGACAACAGGAAAATAGATGTAGAGAGTAGTTTGGAGCTTCACACATGCTGATTTATACCCAATAGGCTCACACTGCAGCCTTTCCCTTGCTAAGGGCACTAGTTTGCATCAGTTTCTTTTTTTCTTCTATCTATTAATTTTAATGAAATACATAGGAACTTACTTTATTTAAGAACTTATTCTCTAGTCTTTGTCCAGTTTTCCAAATGGTCTCAGCAGAAGTTAAAGCACATTTACAGGCAAATGATAAAAAGTGTGATCGTGTGATACTTGCTTCCTTAGAAAACCTGATTAACAAATTAAAATTATCCAAGCCTTCCTGGAGTGGGAAGCATTTTGCATACGAAGCAAGATACTGCCTATTAGTGGCATTATACCTTACTGAGAGTTGCTGTGTCCACGTACTGCTGGAGCCTGGACTCCACCTGACAGCAGAACCAGTGTGGTCAGAAGAGGCTGTGAGATAAAAGGACTCTACAGGTGGGGATGTGGGGCGGAAAATATGTTTGGAAATTTTATCTAGAAGGGGAACTTTTATATAAAATAGGACAGCTAATTGGCATGCATTAAAAAACCGTGAATATAGAAAGGACCAGTATGTGAAGGACTGTTCTGAAGATACAGGTGCAGTGCAGCAGAATGTTGGCTTTTTTTGGAAAATTTACATTTGCATTTTGTTGTATTTGCCCTAAAAATTGTTGTTACATAAAGCTATTTCAGTTTGTCTTGTAGCCTTCTAGAATTGTGGGTATCAGAATGAGACAGAATGGTCTTTGCAGCCATTGCAATGAAGGAGTCACATTTGCTGCCTGATGTTCTATTGTTTGTATACTTAAAGGTTGCATTACCTACAGATTCATCATATTGATTGCTGCCAGAATCCTCAGACGTATTTATTTATTTAGAGACTTCTCCTGGTGATACTCTCTGGTTACAGCCACTGGTACATGTCTACAGTTTGTGCAATATATTGGAATAAGAAAATAAAGTAACAAATACTGGCATCTGTGTCTTCACCGTATTCTAGACTCATGCTTGATGACTTGTTAACTTAGCCTTGTTGTTTCTTCAGTATATGAAATATTACATTAATACATTAAATACTTGTAGTAGATGGCATACTTATTTTGCTGTTTTTATTGTTATATGTTGGGGTTTTTTTAATCTCCTTTAGTGGAAGACCAAATATTCCAAGCTGATTTTCAGAAGATCTGATACAGTACCTGAAGAGCTCCATCAAACAGTACAAGAAGGCTTTCTGACTTTGCGGAAATGCGACTGTTTCTTTCAAGATCTCGTAAGAATCAAAAGAAAAGATTTTGTTACTCCAGTGTCTCGTCTATTAATTGGAGACCCAGGATGCACTTACAAGTACTTGAACACAAGATTATTTACAGTTCCTTGGCCTACTGAAGGTTATGATATAAAATATTGCAGTCCAGAAATACATGATGCTTGCAAAGCATTAATCAGACTTAATGACTACTTGCATGTCGAGGCAGTCAAGGCATTACAAGGACAAAATTTGTTTCAGACCGAAGATTTTAAAGATACTACTGTAATAGATAGGGAACAAAATTTTGCTACTTCCCTTATGGAGAAAGGGTCTGTTTCAAAGGATCAAAGCAGTTGTGTACTAGCGGATGACTACCCAAGTCTAAAGAACAGAACATCTTATAACGTGACTTTATTGAATTATATGGATCCACAACAAATGCCGTACTTGAAACAAGAACCTTATTTTGGAATGGGGAACATGGCAGTGAGCTGGCACCATGATGAGAATCTGGTGGCAAGGTCGACGGTTGCAGTGTACAGTTACAGCTGTGAAGGTGAGTGACGGGAGGGATGAGTTGACCAGTGATGTATCTTAAATCCCTGAAGCTCTTTCATGTTTCCTGGTGTGCACGTGCATAAGCGCACCCGCGTGCTAGTCAAGATTTGTCATGCACTTCTAAATACGTTGTGGTCCTGTTTGTATTTAAGCCCTATCTTCATTTCTACTAAAACCTCTACAAAATACACCTGTGCTTACTGCAGCTGTGGCTTATCAGGTGTTCTCTAAGTAGATTTAAAAATTGGTATGATTAACTGCCTGACTAAGAGCCAGGAAATCAAGATCTGTTAAAGACCCATTTCAGGTGTGTATTTTCTACCCTGTAAAATGTTTCATTGTAGTTGAGACCACAGTCTTACTATTATTGTGTTGTTTATCATATACAGACTTGCTTCTGCTTAATGCTGATTTTACCACTCTTCTTTCTTTGGAAAGATCATTTTAGGTTGGTTTTGTGTAAAAGGTTTTTCTATATCTACTTGGAAGTGTGCACATTTTGTCTAAGCATTTTGTGTAGTGCTATTGCATGTTTTGCAGAGGACTTGCCAACACTTCTGTAGTTGGGAAGGGTGGAAGTTTTCTGTTAGAAGACCTGTTGTCTGACAGGCTTTGTAGGCTGGGCTCTTAGTTACTTAAAAAACATTTAAATGCAATACTAGGGGGGAAAAAGTGTAATTGAATAGTCATTAAATATTTCCTATTTAGTTTAAAGTACCGTTCCAATTTTTATCTTTATTTAAGAACACACGTGAGGATTTTTGTTGATTTTTTTTCCTAACAATTTTTGAACAAAGCTTTGGATTTTTTTCTTAATGGCTTCCAGTTTTACAAACAGAAAATTAGAATTTAGATGCTTGATTTGAATTTAGAAATGCTCCATTATGTTTTATAATTCACAACAGGTTTTTGGTACTTCCAAAAATCATGTGAAGTTTGCTTCAAAACATGGGAAGAATTCGTGTTGACTTCGTAGGTTTTGGCTAAAGACCATGATGTAAAAATAATAGCTGTGTCGTATAGTTCAACCTGGCAAGGTGATGGTGGGGTGAGGGAGAGGATTAGGGGAGGAACGTCAGAACACTGGTGGGTTGAGATAAAAACAGTTTAATTACTGAAACTAAACTAATAATAAATTGTAATAATAAGAAGAACAATGATAGTGACATAATGATAATCACATAAAGCTCACACAAAAGTCAGGAGCCATATGCTTCCAGCAGTGAATATTAGATAAGGAAAATAAACGTTGCCAACACAACAGCTCCAGTGAAAGCAGGGGAGTAGCAGGCCTTGGGAAAAGAATGACCTCTGTGCATGGTGACCAGAAAAGGGTGTCCCCAGCAAACTGCCCAGTTTATAGTGAGTGTGATATTTGTGGTATGGAATGATCCTGTTGGCCAGCTTGGTCAGATGTCCGGAAAGCTCCTGGCTTTTGCTCCCCTCAGCTTCTGCAGCTGATGATCTCACAACTGCTAAAGCCCTCGATTGCTGCATACCAGCGCCGGCTGAAACCTCAAAGTGTCCTATCAACTTGGTATGCGTTAAATCAAGTGCTGTGGTTTTGCAGAAATGCAGCTTTCCTGAGTAGAAAACTGGTTATGATTCTATCTCAGCAAAACCAGGACAGCTTATATGTTCCTGTGCATTCTCCTGTTAGTTTTGTTATTAGTTTTGAAGCCATGGGTCACTTCATTACTTAAAGTGCAACTCAAATCTTCATATTTACGTTTTCCTGGACATAAAACATCAGCTGGCTTAGCAAACTGAATAGAAGAGAATCCCTCAGCAGCAGTAGTGTTGTTTTGTTCATTAACTTTTTTCTGTCCTATTTGGCAAAGACATTGGTATTTTTTGTCCAGTAAATGTTTGCTTGGCGTTTTCAGTAGTACTGTAGAGAAATATTTTTTCAGTAACATTTTAATTTAAAGAAACATCAACATGAACTTGAAATAATAGTAGTGTGTATGATGATTTATTGTAATATGCTTAAAAGCTTTTTACTTTAACGTAAAACTTGCAAAGCTCAGTGAGCTATAAATTAACAAAGAAGCAGGCTGCTATGTTTATTCATAACTCATCACTTGATTTTGTTTCTTTCAGCAAGATAGATAGGTAAGAATTATGCTGTTTTAAAACCACTGCAAATTCTATGCAAGATTTGGTTGAGAAGGGTAGAAATATTTGATATCTGTTTAGACCAAAGAATTATTTTCGTATCTGTATGTATCTAATGTTTTTACCACATACACGACTTTTTTCATAAAACATTTCTACTTAAAAGTTTAATTTTTTTTCCTGAAGAATTTAAAAATTGACATGAAAATTTCAAAAAGCTAAGAGCTTTCCCGTGAAGAAATGAATAATTCTATCATTTACATTTAAAAAAAATATGAAAGTTACCACTTAATCTTTGTATTTTTGCAATGATCCCAAAACTTTTTGATCAAATGGAAATTTTACCATGTACTGGGGGGGAGGGAAAACTCTTGGCAGGAGGTGGCAATATTAAAACCTCAGTGTAGCCAGGGATAGTGTAAAAGATGCTTTTGTTGGGAAGAAAATTATGAACTCGAATCTAAATCTGAACAAGATTGAATTCCACTTGGTAGCTCTTGCGCATCGTTCGAATTGATTTCAGGAACTTCAGAGGGAGTTTAAGGTGCCCAACATGGCTCCAGAGCATCCTGAGGAAACCTCCTGTATGGGAAAACAGGTCCCTCGCATCTGAGGGTGTTCAGGTTGTGGTTGTCACTGTGTATCTCTAAAGTGAAGCTGTATTTATGATTGCCATACTCATAAATTGGAGGAAACGGAACCTGTTTATTGTTTATGAATATGGCACTGTAGTTAAAGGGAGGGTGAATACTGGTGTGTGTTGAAGTTTTCTACCCAGCATGTCCAAGAGGAGTAATTAATCTACTTGATTTTAGAGAAATAAAGAGACTGTCTTTCTGCTCTTCTGATTTCCTGTTTATAACCTTCAAATGCGGGTGGTTAATCACTTATTACTGCTTATAATATTGTTTCCAGTTCCGTATCACTTCAATGTGTTGGTGGTTTCCACAGTTCACAAAGCCTGACAATATTTACTGTATCTCTTAGCAAGCTCCCCATGACTGTGAAGCATGAAGAAGCTCCACATCTTTTTGAAGGTTGTTGTTAAATCATTGTAGAATTGTATCTTAAGGCCTCTTCCCACTTTCCATAAACATATTTGCCTTTTATGCCAGTATCTTTTATTAGTACTTACTCCGGTAATTAATTTAACATTTAGTTAGCAGTGAATTCTCACTGTATCATATAAAGACTGTCACATGATCTTTGTAGAATACATGATGAAAAGAGTAGAGGTGGTCAGAAATTTTTGGATGGAACAATTTTTTGTTAGAAGGCGATTATATGGATTAGTAATTTTCTAGGAGAAAACAAACACTCTGTGGGAAGCTCAAACACAAATGAAGCATGTTGATTTTTGTTCAAACTAGCTCGAGGCTAGGGCTTCCAGAGCCTCCTGGCCGGTACCAACCTCTCCTGCCACAGACACGGAGTCCTCAGGTTTTCATCTTCTGAACAGCAGGAGCCCTAGGAGTCCAACAGTCTTGCTGTGTTATGGCAGCTGCTTGTCGGACCATTTAGAGATGAACAACTCAGGTTATGGTTTTCCTTTTACTTTAATTTGTGTTTTTATATCATTACTTATTTGGTGCCTACTTATTTGATTAAATAGTATTAAACCAGATACTACTGTAATTGAAACAGCTTTATTTTCTTGTTTGCTTGTTCAGTGTTTGATGCCATAATGAAAATTTAATGTTTGAAACTTTGATCAGTATTAATTGGAATAGAAGTAGTTTTTAATATACCAGAAAAGAAATTTGAGAGCAGACATAAAGATATCAGAACAAACTGATGCTCTAATTGGTATCACGACTTATTTTCTTGTTTCCAGTGTCAGTGTTTCAAAGCAACTTCAAATAAGTTACATTTCTAACAACAAAATAAGATAGATGCTTTGCTTAATGCTCATCTGAATAGTGTTTCGTTTTATTTACTTAAAAATCACAGAATCGCAGAATCACAGAACGTTAGGGATTGGAAGGGACCTCAAAAGATCATCCAGTCCAATCCCCCAAAAATAAAGTGCATTGGATTACACTAGGTTACAAGTAGGTTATCAAGTGATAAGAATAGGCCCACACAAAAGTTTGGGAAATTTCCTTTTAAAGTACGTCCTGCATGAAAGTGCACGAGTGGCAGTCACGGTGTGTGTGCAGAACTGAGTACCTTACAGACTGTCTGTTCAGTTCTACTACCACGCTTTTCAGAATTAATTTGCTTTTCAGAATTTACCATGGAAAAGGAATCCCAAACTTTGACCAATTTGGGATTTTTAATAACACCTTAGCGTACAAATACCGTATTGCATGAGAGCATTAAGGTAAAAACTTGCTCGAGATTCTAATATAGTAAGCTAGTAACCCATTTTTATTTCCTGCTCTACTTATAAAAGTGAATTGCAATCCAACTACTGGTGGAATAAGGGGGCTTTCAAAAATTGGATTTTATCCATGAAAATTTCCTAATGAAGAGATTTCCCTCAGGTCTTTGTATGTTTTGTTGGAAGTTTTATTGCTTAACAGAGCACTAGTTGATTCTGAAGATGTCCTTTGAAGTAAAGACTTGTTTCAATTACCAGCTTTCGGGAGATGGAAAATAATGTAGTCACTGGAAGTGTCCATCTTTCTCCTGTCTGGATTTCCCACAAACTGAGGTTAGATAAGTGATTTTCCCGACGTTCTTTACACTGTCTTGTTTGTCTTCTTGCTGTAAGGCCTACTTGCTGTATAATAAACTGGCTTTGTTCACTGGCAAGGTAACGTTGAAAGATTTAACAAACTTACAGTTATAGCAGCAATGTGTATGCTTGTTTCCTTTGTAAAATGCTGTTTGTATTTTTTCACACTAATGTTAGGAGCAATATCCTAGCACTAAACCTAACGATGGCTATTTCACTTCTACAATAATTGTAAATAGAAATATTTGAGATTCACTACAGATGTATGTTTCTGCACTAGGTTTAAAAAAAAATAAATCCTGAAACTACAAAAGTTGTTCAGAATTGAAGTAAATCTCAGTCCTCTTTATGTACTGCTTAATGGATAAAAGTCATGGAGTAGATGTTTGTACTGGATGAGATCAGTTACATTAAATGGTTTCTAATGTAGTAGAAATACTGCTTGTTGAAAGAAGCAAAATGGTATGTAGAAAAAGATGTATTACTTAAGAAATGAGTGTGTGAGTGAAATGGTCACTTCTGTAGCTTGTATGTTCTGGCCAGATGGAATTATATTCTGAGAAGCACAAATTTTTAATGATCTCATTGCTCTTATTATAATAGATTTGAATCCCTGATTTCTAAAAAGAAACTGTCATTTGAGTTAAGTGTTGTGGGTTTTTTTTAACCATGCTCTCACTGATTTGATTGAATAAAGTCTCTCCTTCAAGAATGAAGGGATGGCAGTATTCTGTTTGTATTTTAGCGCTTATGTTCTTGATATATTTGGACACAATGTTCCTGTTTGTTTTTTGTGAATGTGAGTTGCAAGCAAAAGTTAGTGTTGGGACACTTTGATTAACCTCATGTGCTGTGGCTGTTCAGTAATAAGGTGGAAGAAATAACTCTGGGTAGATACTTGTTCTTTCCCACCAGCTGCTGAAAAGCAAAGCACGCTCTGCTTTTTTCTCTTCTTGCTTACACCATATATAAATTGCTGTAGAAGACATTAATAATGTAGATAGTTCATTAATCGCTGAACGCGTACCCAGATTCTTAAATTCTGGAAAAATAAATTGAGCTGTGAAAAAAAAAAAAAGTTATTTTTCCTGTATCTGTTTAGCAGTGGTCAGCTGGATTTAATGACAAAGTGGATGTTTACAGTCCTTGTTTTTAGCACTGTGTTGGCAGTGATTCTGTCATCTAAGAAATCACGTTTGATTTAAGATTACTTTTAAGTTTCATAGTATCAAAAAACTCTCAAACTCCTCCTGAAGATTTTGATACCGAGTAGCCAAGAAACCTTTCAAGGTTTCTTCTACTTCCTATGCTGTGGAACAATAACCAAGCTAGGTCCAGGAAAACAAGTTGCATGTTGTTCTGAACCTAGCCATGACCCACTGCTGGTAAGATTGGGTCTTAGAGCTGGAATGTGTCTGGAATCTGAGCTGTCTAGTTAGCAATGTGAAGTTGTGGCCAGTTTTCTGCAGCTGCGTTCTCTCTTCCATGCTTCTACCTTAATTACAGGTTTAATGAGGTGTTATTATGTTATGGTGATCTTGTTACCTGGTTGCACCATTTAATTTGGGATGCGAGCGGAAACGTTTCTTACAGGCCAAATTGTATAAATTTTTAATTAACAAAATTCAAATTTGCAGATAGTTTTATTCTCTTTTAAATACTGCCATCGACCATTTCTGTATGGTCTACCCCGAAATAAATGCATGTTCTCAAGGTGCTGTATATGTGCAAGATCCAGATGATTTACTCTCAAATACCTATGGTTTAGATGCATCCAAATGTTTTCACTTACATGGGAACTGTAATTATATCGATGAATATACAGCGTTCAGTCATGCTTGAGGTGTGACATACAGAATTTAATAACTTCTTTTAATGCAAGTTTTTCAGTGTTACCTAGAGATATACCACAAAATTAAAGGTGTCTTTTTTTCCCCTTGCTCTCACTTTCAGAATAGTTTGCATTTAAAAGCGAGTAGCAGCTTGCTTCCATTTGTTACCAAAATAACATGGTAGGAGCAATCAGTTTCAATTGCTGCTGATAATTATAAGGTGCAATAATTGAGAATATAGAGAAAAGGAGACTGTGAGTTACAGTTGAACTCTGTACTTAAGCAATAAAAAATTTATCAAACTGCAAAAAATAAGTCATTTTAACGAGCACATTCCAAAGGTGCTGGATTTATGAGGAGACCCCAGGAAACTTTGATTGAAATTGCTGTCTCTGATTGTAGTTCTATATTTTATTGGTGCCATATTGTGAACAGTGCTGCTGCCAAAGTGAATGGGAAAGCAGCATAAGAGAGAGAGAGTTAACCCAGAAAGGTTACCTCTTTTTATAATATCCATGATGTATTGCATTAAAAATGCCTTGAAAGCCATCCTATTTGCAGTTTTCAGAAAACATTTTTCTTAAATTAAGTTACGATTTATCTGAACAGGGCAGAAAATATGAAAGCCCCTTGAAGACTTTAGTATTGATTTTTCTGAGTATTTGCTAGCTCTTGTTTTCTCATTTGTGTGCTCCCTGATAGAAAGGCCTAGAGCTGCTCCTGAGCCAAAGCCTCAGCTGGATGAGAACTGCAGCAGTGAAGGGAGGGAATACGGCGACTGAATTTACCGTAGGATTTTTAACTAAGAACTTCAGTTGGGCTTTTTTAAAGGTTTTGCCTCTCTGTTTCCTGAATTTAGCCAGTATTTAATTGACATAGAAAAGGAAGACCATTTATTAATCGTTATCGGCTGCTCCCAACTCACCAAACATTGCAGTATCCATGTGTGATGAATGACTTGAATATATTGCAAGTGTGAGTTCAAGGGCACCTTTGATGTGCGCATATTATAAGAGGTTAGAAATCTTTATTTTAGTGTTTTTATTCTAGAATTAAATGAAGGCAAAAATTTTAAAAACTGTTACATGAAAGCACATTTGAAATGACTGGGGAACAGCACACACACTGTTACTAACTCAGAAGCAATAATTAGGCATGGTGTATAGTGGCCGATTGCTAACTGTTCACTCCTGTTCTGTGCCAAGTGCTTATTAAAACTTCATCCTCCCTCTGTCAAAATGCTCTGTTACTTTAGCTGTAAAACTGTTATGCCATAGCTCCCAATACCTTGTTATAAATGCTGACTGTATCTTTCAATTTATACTGCAGTGAAGTAAGCTTATGAAAATAGTTCTGAGGGATTAAGCTCCAAATACTATTTCTATGCAGTGGATTATTTTTTTCCCCAAGCACAACACATTCATGTTGCTTAATGATAAGAAAAACGTTGTGACAAATGTATTGAAGCTTTGTTGGCTCTTGCACATGTTATCTGGCATGTTTGACTAATAATTCTGAGAAGAGGGTGACAGATACGTTTCCAAGATTCGCTCAACCTCGTTGATCTAGATTGTGTTTGTGCCCGTTATTTCACCTTGCTTCGCTTCAGTTTATGATTTGGTGAAATTGCAAGTATGGAAGCAAATGAAATTGTTCGTAAAATGCTTTGGCAGTTTATGACTTGAAAGCCTTTCAGAAGTTATCTATTTTAATATCACTGTTGCCGCATTGTTTTCTGTTTTTCTTCTATGCTTATAGTTTCAGCAATGTAAAGTAGTGCAGATTAACTCAAACTCCTATTACACCTACTCGAGAACTTTAGAAAAGCTTCAGTCCATTACAAGCTTTACCTTGGTTTGCCTTTACTTTGTAGGTAACATGAAGTTTTTGTCATAGTAAAGTTGGTTGCAAAAAATTCTTTTTCTCATCTGGCTTTTTTTCTTTACCTATTACGTACCTTTGAAATTGGAGATGGTGATGATATCAAATGGATATTATAGAAAGTTTAACCCTATTAAGATTGTATCAATGTGGAGTATGGTTAAGGCTGTATTGTTAGTCCAGATTTTGTATTTTATGGGTCTCACCTTGTCTGTTGTCTTTGTGGTGTTTTTCCCTTTCTCTCTTTAAAGGTTCAGCCGTGGAAGGAGGTAATGAACAAAAACCGGAGGGAAGAGACCCAGCTGTTTGGCACGTAGGCCTGAAGGTAGCATGGGACATAGAAACACCTGGATTAGCAATACCACTTCACCAAGGAGACTTCTACTTGATGATTGGTAATTTTCAAGGGCTAAGAAGGTGAACATTCTGTTGAAAACAGGATAAATGACACTTATTTTAGTATAAATTATCATAGCTTCCTTTCAGTTAGGACTTTCCTTATTCAGAAAGCCATGAAATCTGGCTAGAGTGTATAATAAATTCCTCCTACCCTGTCTGCTTTCAGCATATTTTGGGGAACATTTTTCCCCTAATATTTCTTTCACTTCACAGCTAAGAAAGGAAATATTCTTTTTGAGCCTTTTCTGTCTGTTGTACAGTCAGAATTGCAAGTCCAAGTCAGGCTTCAGGCTATAAGCAGAATTTCCCCAGATCCTGTGAGAAGTTGAGCAATATCTGTCCCACCCTTGTATTTGTAGATGCTGATTTCTTTTGCTATTCTTAATGCAGTTTTACTGTGTAACTGTGAGCATCTGTCGCTTATGTTCAACAAAACCAGAAAATCATGTTCTTGAGTTTAAATTATGGAGTGGCTATGGATTATGTAAGCTGTGACTGTAGCAGTCTTAAAGCTTCCTGGTGCTGTGGTTCTTGAAGTTTCAGCCGTTATACCAATCTGTGGATATTTTATTCATCACCAGTTTTAGACATGACACTTCTCTCCTGCTACACTTTTCCATCTTCAGACATAGTATTTTCTAATAGTGGGATTATACTAAGATCATAATGAATAGAGGTGCCATACTCCAGGAGTGAGTCTCAGTGTCTTAAGTGTAGAGAATTGATAAAAGAAAATTAAATTGAGTTGACTTGAGCAGCTGAGCTCATACACTAAAGTGTTTTGGTTTTTTTTTCATTGAAAAAAATGAAGCAAGAACCATGGCTAAGGCTTGTTTGCACAAAATCTGTCACTTTCTTTTGGCTTATGTTTCTCTTGGTTATTGTTTCTGTTTGAACAAGTTTAGTTATGAATCATGGCACTCAAAGCATGAGCAATGCTTCTGACGACATCATGTTTGCCTGTTTAGTGACTTGACAGGCATCATCTCGAAGAGCGAGAGCACTCGCAGTGTTCGCTGTGGATGTGTTTGTGGCTTGGAAGGTAGACTCCATGGCATATGGACATTGGATCTGCCAACTTGATGGGCTGAACAGTCTCTTCACTTTTACCTTTCACTTTTCATCTTCCAACAGATGTGAAAACAGATTACTTACTACAAGCTGTACATCTGTGGGCAATCTTATAAAACATCTACTGCTCTTTGTTTATTAATTACCTTATCATATCCTGTGCGCTGCCATCAATGAAGTATCTTGTGTAAAAGAACTGGACTGTGTGTGCACTTAAATACGTTCAGATCAAGTGTTAAGATGTGAGATCCTTTGGCACAGTGATGTGGATGTGCCTCCCTTTCCTGTATTTGCGAGGATATGGAGTAGCAGCTTGGAGGAAAACGGAGGCATTTCTCATATGAAAGTGAAGTTTAAGTGGCAGCTAAACATTCCTAGAAGGGGAATTATTAATGTATTTTTGGTGCATAGCAGTTTGGGCATCAAGTAAACTTCTTATCTAGTCCTTCCTGGCTGGATAGTTTGTGCATACACAGCTTTGCTGGGCAACAGATTCAGAGGGCAGTTAATAAAAAAGGGGTTGAACTTCGGTATTTTTACTGCAAAATACTGTAGGTTGTAGTTGGCTGAGTTACCAAGTCATAGGGACATTTATTTTCCGATGGAATTTATATACAGTAACTAAAGTATCATCGTGGATGCTATATGAAGGGCAAGTCAGAAAGTTAGTTTATTTAACATACAAGACCATGATCATGTTTAGATGGAAACAAAGGATATATCAAACATTCTTTTGAAAATGATGTGTAAACCCCTTTCTTATTAATACTTTGTGGAGAGCTGCAGATAGAAGCTCTGTAGGCCAGGTGTTTGATAATCTCTTCTCTAGTTCCATAGCCTTTGTATTTTTTTTCCCTCAGTTACTTAAAAAAATTATTGTTTTATACAGTCTGAGAGAGTATTCTCAAACTGGCCCTTTCATTAGGTTTCTGTGTACAGCAGAACTCCTTTTATCGTTTTCACTTGAAGTGAAAGACAATATAAGTGACATACACAGTTTTAGTTGAGATTTTTTTTGAGCAGACTTTTAAGAGGAGGCATCTTGAGGATGCCATCTAAAAGATAAAATGTGAAAACTCTGTATAAAAAATAATGTGACAATAAAGAAGCCAATTTTAGATTCATTTATCTTGTGTATTTATACATCATATATTCCAGAACTTCATTTCACTGAGCAGAATCTTCTTGCTGGCTTTTTTTTAAAAGGTGTGGCAGCAGTATGCAAGACATCTAGAAAATACGACGTTAAGTACTGCAGCTAGTAGTAGCTGTTGATGTAGAGACTGACTGGTAGGACTTGAACTTCTTCTGTCTTTCATTGATTCATCCAACTACAGCAAAAAAACTTAGCAGCTCTGTGGGTCTGTTCTTCCAGTTGTGAACATGGTGCACTGCTTTATGTGAATACTGTAAAACACTGAAAAGTCCAATTGTGTATGTTGCTCACCGTTAAAAGTCAGGTCCTATCAATTCCTGTACCCCAACTATTTCCCAATATTGTGCACACAAATCTTACATTAAAAAAGTGGAACTGTCATATTTCTCGTAGTAATGTGCAATTCCAGTAACTTGTAACTCCTTATCAGTGGGTATTTCAAAGTAACAAATAGATTGGGGTGGTTTTTAGCATTTCTAGTAGACATTTAGTGTCTATAATCCTTTCTTCATTGGCTTTAAAATATTTTTTGGTTTTCTGGGTAGAATTTTAGTAAAATGCAGTCTTAAAATACAAATTTACGCCTGCATTCTTAGCAGTCCTCTTCAGATGAAATCATAAATCATAATTTAAATGAATGTTAGTACTAAATATGAGGTGATCGAATCCATTCTTCAAGTCAGCTGTTACAATAGTATGAATGTATTTTGTTAAAACAAAACCAATCAAAATCTAGCATGACTTTCAGTAAGACAGGTGTTTTGTGGTTTGGTTTTTTGTTTATGGCTTACTATTCTTGATATGTAGAAAAAGATCTGGTAAATGACTGCAAATCCGCTGCCTACAAATTCTAATCTGAACTTTATATCACTCATGAAACGGAAACACTTTAGCTCAATTTAGAATAATATATTGGTCTGCAGAGGAAGTGCGTACTGAACCCTGCTGTCTCAAGTACACAGTCAAGGGGTGTCTAATTTGAAACGTGTTGGGTGCATGCAATAAATCCAAAACGCGTGGAGGTGAGCGGAGGGCCCCATCTGCTCTGTCCTAGAGCATGGCTAACCAGGGCTGTCATGGTCTTACTATTAAATTGGAATCTTTCCCCTAATCTTTGAGTTAGACATGACCAGATTTGCAAGCAGATTTACAATTTTCACTAATTTTCCTACCATGAATTCAAAACTTACTTAACAAAAATACATTCTGGTCTTTTTCAAAGGGAGATTTACTTTTCTGCAGCTGTTTCCCATAGATCAAGCTCTTGCTTGAAGGTTAGGGTTTTAAAACAGCATGAAGATGAACTTGGAATCTTATACCACTCCCCACCCTCAGCAGATTAGAGTTCAAGAAGCACCAAAAACTGTTTTCATAACCAACAGAAGTAGAGTGCACACATTGCAGAGGTTGGCTTGTGGTTAAAGATAAGTGTTTAATGGAAACACTTCCACATGTAGATAGTGGCTTGTTAAACTATTTCTAGATATTTAATCTGCTTCTATTTCCACAAACTAACTTGAACCCTCTTTGCTCTCTAGCATCTTGAATGTGTTGGAGTTTTTTAACCTTTTTTTTTATTATTATTGAGTCCACATTTAATCCAAATGCTATATTCCTTGATTATTAAGACTTCGAACCTCAGAAACGTATTTTTCATTACCAAACTTTGATCATGAATTTTGGCAAATCCCAGACATCTTTTTTTTCCCAGTTCTTTCTTTTGTTTGTGCACATTCTTCTCATTTAAAAGCTAAAAATATCTCTTAATTACTGACAGATCATTCCTCTAGCTTTCTGCTATCAAAGTACCATTCCATTGATCCGTAATATCCTGGGGAAGGAGAGGCACCTTCCTGGTAGCTTTTGTTGACACACCTACAGTAAAATTAGTGTGGTTAGGTTTTCTCCTGTTGAAGCATTGTGTGCATTTGGATACAAGTAGGATTGGAAATGGTGGAAAACCATTTTAGTGCTTTTTGAAAATAAGTCTTTTTTAAAAAGTGCCATTTTTTGAGTGCACTGTAATATCTTTAAAAAGAAAATTGTTTATTTGTTTATGGTAGTTAAGAAAACTAAGAGCACAAGTCCATTTCACTTTTTCTTGTAGATACGTGTGGCGTTTAGAATATCAAAGCTTTTGCCAGTGCTTTAAACCCCACTGTACCTTTTATCTGCTTCATGAAATAGATGTCAGGAAGCCAACTGTCTGAAAAGTTCAGGAAGAGCATTTGAAAGAAGATAGAAAAGATGATATTAACCCATGTTGCTCATTCTGAGAGCATTTTCCATTGTGGTTTGTGTTTTCCTTGGAAGTACTTTACCTAGAAGTAATAAGTTTGGGGCCTTTAGTCCCTACTCCTTTTGGTAAGGATTGGCTAAGAATTAATTCCCTTTCTTCCTTGTAATTGTTACATCGTTAATAGTCTGCAGTGAGATGGGTATTCTTACAACTTTTTAGTGCTTCATCTATAAAGTCAAAATCTGACCTCCAAATTATTTAAACAGACTTTGAGTTGGCACCTTTGTTTTCCAAGATGGCTTTGGCCACCTGTACACGACCATACATGTGATAAATTTCTTTCAATAAATCTTGCCTCAGCTATGCTAGCTCTATAATGGGATCTGGCGATAAGGTGGTAGGTGATTCATTGGGAGGTGGCAGGCAGAAGACAGTACAAATAAAAGAATAAAACAATCCATTTAAAAGAAATACGGATTTAGCCATATACATGTATGCAGGAAATAGTTTGTTTCCTGAGTGCTCTAGCTGTGACAGAAAATTGAAGTTATTTTTTCCAATATTTAGACACCAAGTGTCTGTTATCAAGCAAGCTGTGTTCCTTTGAATGCCAGCAAGCCTTTATAGCATTGTCAGTAATTTGAGGAAGATGGTTTACGCGTTACACAGCCTGAAATACAAGTAGTCACCTACAGTTGCCCAGTGACTGGTGACACAATGCTCTCTTCTGAATGCTGGTAACTATAGGCTTTGATTGAGGAAATGCTCTTTGGTCAGGATAACACTCTAGCATGCGTTAGACTTCATTAGTTTTTCTTGATTGTTTTCTGCGATTACTATTTTTAAATTTGGATAATGTGTAGTGTCTTAATATTTATAAAGAAGCAAAAAGCCTGATCAGACTTCAGAAAAATAGTCTATGCCAGTGACAGCATTTTGGGATGGGAACAGTCATGCAAGCAGAGAATTGTAGTCCAATTTTCGAAATTTCTCTCTTACCTTTACCTAGTAGTCAGTTAATTGCCACATGCATCTCATAACCATCCCCGTGGAACAGAAGTTTTGTGTGGTTTTATTTTTGTAACAGATACTGAAGTCAAACATCCCTGCCATAGTTGTCCTGGAGTTGTGGCAAGATAAGGGCCCACTGTTCTGTGACAGGAAAGGCACCAAGTTGGCTTGTACCTCACAGCAAATCTGGGAGAACTGTGTGACAAATAACATGCCTGTCTGCAGTTTTCCAAAGCAGGACCGATATGTATAAACTTATATGCATGTATTTTTTGTGATGCATAACACTGGAGAGACTGTGTTCTGGTTTTCCAAACGTCACCGTTCAGTGTTTAGTGATGTAAAGCTGACGTTAACTCTGTATGTATTGTAGTTTACCTAAAACCACAGGAGCACTGTTGTAGTTTTCATATGGTTGTCCAAGGAAGGTAACAGTTTTGATGTGGCTCTAAAACCAAAATAGTGATCTGAAGAAAAGCTTTGTTGCCAAATGGACAATGGCCAATTTAACAAAGAGTGCTTTCTCTTTTCAATTAATATATTTTTAGAAGAAAAAGAAAAGCAAATCTTTACTGTAAGCTTTTAAGACCTAGAATGTATTTTTCAAATATCCTTTGAGAAATGCAATACATGAAGCTTCAACTTATTTTTGTACAATTACAGTTTTAGATGAATTACAAACTCTTAAATTAAACTTACAGGCTTCTTCCTAAGAATCATAAAGGATTAGAGACACTTGAAAGCAATTTCAAGGGGGAGCCCTATGATGAAAGATTTGCCAATGGTTTGAATAAAGGTGCAAATCAAAATGTAGTACTTTTAATGCCGTGTTTGCTACAGAAAACACACCACAATGAATGGGCACTGAATGGGGTGATGGAAGTGTTTAGGTTTTTCTGTCACAATTCTTCTTGAAAGTGATGGTGATACGTTGCAATGTCCAGAGAGAATATTGTTCTGTGGCCCTTGCAGGACTTGGCTCTGTGCAATTTAACCCTGATATGTTCACGTAGGAAATGGCTCTTTCCTTTGTTCTTTTGGTTTGTTGTGGAACATGTTTTCAAGCTTTTCAGCTCTGCCTATCTGCAAACCTCATGCAAAGCCTCCAATCTAAACTTTCTCAGTGGTAATTCAATTCTCTTTCTTAACACGTGTCTACCTGTTCCTTATATAAAACGGGTTTTTGGATTCTTTTTTCGTCCAGTTTTGCGGTGCTAGCTGCTGTCTTGGGTACAGACGTTGTTAATGGTTGATTATAAAACTCATGAAGTCACTGTTCTTACAACTAGGATAAAGGTAGTTATTTTTCTGAATTCTTATCCATTTAAAGTTTGAGACTTGTTGCAAGGTGAAGTTTTAGAAAACATAATTTTAGATAATTAAAGAAAAATTATGTTTGCGATGGAAGGATGAATCTTGATATCTTCTCATCATGTTATGTTAAGATGACTAATGCTCAATTCCCTGAAAGAACAGATACTGTTGACAATACAGACTCCAAGTTAACTAGCATCTTGTAGGTCTCTATTCCTGTTGTCTTCTAGTTTTATCCGTGGTGGTTTTTTTGCTTGGTGACACTTCAGGTCACCTGGTCAACTACAGCCAAGCAGTGATGTCTTTATAGAAATTTTTGATAGACTTTCCTGAATGTCTTGTCCAGGGTGCAGCATTATTTTAACACCAAAACTGTTTGTATTGAAAGCACTTTATGAACAGTTTTCAACGTTACAGTGGGTGTTGTTACTAGAGTAGTCTGAACTTTTCCAGAGGAATACATTTCCTCTAGAAAGTGCTGATTTGTCAGAATTCAAATGTTCTTCAGTTCTGATAATTTTGATGAAACTGATGGGCAACCAAGTAGATTCTATCTGCAGAGGTTTGTTGGGTGGTTTGTTTGCCAGTTTGAGAACTGAAGTCCATGACAGCCCTCTGGCAGGCTACAAAAAAGTCACAGATTAAATGCTTTGGGGACAGATCTTTGAGCAGATTGTACTTTATGGTTCCCAGTTTCTTGGCTCTGAGCTGAAGGGAGAACTTCAAATAAGTTTCAGATAAAAATATTAAATAATATCATTGTCTTTCTTTCTTTGTTTATTTTTTTTCCATGGAGTATCAGTATTGTTTAGTGATTTTTGAGAAAGCAGTGTTATTTCTGCATAGTCTGTTGTTTATAGTGATCCTTAACTTTGAAAGAATTGTTTTGTGTAGTTGAACTTTTCCCAATAGACATGGGAAAATGCCACTTCTGAATTGTGTAAACTGGGAGAAAACTTGTATGAATAGTGATCTTTGTATCACTAGGACAGTGAATAGTTATCATGCTCTGCTAAACATTAGAGGTCTATGAGGACAGTACTGACTGAACCACCGTCTGTTGTGTTTGTTTTTTTCTTTAAAAGCCTAATGTAATGCCTTTCCTTCATATTCAGCCAGAAGAAGGCTTCTTAAGTATAATTTGTCCCTCCACTTAAGGTTTTCTAATCTGTCCTCAGATGATCTCAATATGACTCATCAGCACTGTGTCCTGGCTGGTTTTTCACCCCGATTCAGCTCAACTCACAGAGTGGCAGATGTAAGTATCAAAAACAGTTTGCTGTTTGGTCACTCATAAAACTAATATTGTGGTATCAGTATATAGCATTATGTTGTCTTTTTTAGAACTGTGCTTCACAACAACGCTTATGGCTCTGAGTGTTTTCTTGAACAACTGCTATTTGTTTATTTTTGGATTGAGTTACACTTGTTTCTGTATTGATAGTTTGCCTAAACTCACAGTTAGCCATATAAGATATGATTTAAGCATGTGCTACACCAGACCTCACAGATTGCTGAAGAAATTAATGTTTACCTGAAATGTTCTAAAACTTTTTTTACTGTGTTTTTTACTGTGTATCTCAGTCCTACTTGAAGGCAGTATTCATGGTGAGATAGAAATACTCAAAATATGTATGTCAGCAGTGTCCACTGGCAAAAATGGCCTTTAGGAGGTCAGAACAACTAAGAGCAATCATGAATATGTTGAAATGAGATCCTTCTGTTCACCTGAGGATTGAAGAAGCAGAAGTGATAAGACACCTTTGTCTCAGAGTCGTTAGGAGATATTAAGGCTTCAGCCTGATATTCTCAAGAGCTAAAACACTTTTTTTTTTAACTAGACCTCTCTTCCCAATTCCTTTTTATGGTGCAGATTTGTTTGTGTAGTGTTTGAATGGGAAAGCATACAGAAAAATAAAATTAGACTGTATTGTAAAAATATATTTTAAAAGTTACAGTAACCGCTTTCTTCTTTCAGCAGTTACCACCACTGAAGCAAGAGACATACGAGTATCCATATACTTCTTTCTTTCCCCCTTACTCTTCCTAATTCGTGCAGAAATGGAAATAAAGCAATAGCACCAAACATGGACATATACATACATATAACTTGTAATATAAAAAGTGCCTTTATTTCCCAAACAGATATACACTCTGCTTGCTTAAACTGGGCTTTGACATAAAGTACAGTGTACATTTAAAAACAGTGTTATATTTTTCCTTTCTTTCTAAGAGTGCTCTGACCTGCTGTTCCTGTCTCTGTGTTACTTCTGCAGGAAAATGCACACTTATTTTTTTTATAGCTTTGCTATAAAAGCTATTATGCTTTAGTTTTGCAAGCTGTTGTGACTTCAAGTTGTGTAGTATGGAAATTTTTTTACAAAGAATATCCAACCAGAGAGTCCTTATTCAAGATTATTCCTGGAAATTTAACTGAAAATACAGATAGTTAATTGAAAATAATTAAAAGATGTCGTCTTACTTTTGGTTCAAAAGGATTTTTACATATTTCCTTCTAGTTTTGAAGGAAATGTAATGAAAACAAACTAAAAGGAGCAGAAGTGCTACCTTTTTAGCTCATGTTGTCTATACCTTGTAAGCAAACAGTGCTCTCAGACTGGATATGGAACTCCATTCTGGTGTTACTGGGAGCTCATGCAGCTTGGCAAATGCAATTGGTTCTGAAACAGTGTCAAAAATTTGGCCAGGAGGCAGTGTAAGTATGACCATGTCTTTATATGCCTTATGTGTAAAGTTAATTTTAAAGAAATTGTTTTCTTTATCCTTTCAATCTGTACTGTACTGCTTGGCTAGATGTTTGATGGGTTAGACTTGTGCGTAATTTATATCAGTAACTATACAGACAATACAAGGGGTATTACGCTTCTGTATAAAAGATGGTGAAATAAAGTTACAGAAACACATCCCCTCTACTCCGTCGCTTTTATTGTTTCCTAAGCAAATAGCTCAGTGTATTTGAGAAATACATATGTTCTGAAGTGGCTATATATGAATTTTTAATTGTATCTTTATAGTGTTCAAGGGGAACATTGGAATACATATTTGGACAGTGTGAACTGGCACTCCAGAATTTACAGACTGATTCTGATTCGATGGCTTTATCTTTGAAATCACTGGAAACTGCAGTTGTAAAGCAAGTAGAAGAAATACATAATGAGGTGAGATGATGTGCACTGAAAAGTCTTCAGCCAGATTCTGAGAGGTGCAGTCTGCTTGTGGAGCTAATGGCAATTAAGTGTGTTCAGCTGCTCACAAGGCATTGCTCTGTATAAGTTTGAAATCAGTGGTTGATGACTTTTTATATTACTTGGGTCAGTAATTGCGATTAACTTGAATTGCTATTTTCATTCCCATGAAATTTTCATTTTTCCTTAAAATCCCTCTGCTGGTAGAGTAAAAGAGTTTTGGTGAGGTTACACCAAATCTGAAAGTGTGGTGGACAAACCAAACTACACCAGCACTTCTCTAACAAAAAAAGAGAGGGAAAAAAGTAAAGGAGAAAGAGCAGGTAAAATTCTTCAGATGTTTGTCAGATGTTGAGCCAGGTTTGTACAGAATGCCATGTGTGACACAATTGTGATTATGTGCCTTAAAGTCTATTCTGAAGAAAACACAGTGGAAATAATTGTGAGGAACATATTTAAGTAGGTGATTCTGTGCTACAAACGATGCAAGTGTGACAATGCACTTTCACAGGATTCCAGTGAAGCTGGCAGTGCTTTCTTGTTTGAAGTACAGATCTGTAGTCTTAACAAACACATTGATTTGGCAAATGAACTGAAAATCTCAAACAGTATTTTGGGAGTCTATGGGAACAGGTCATGTTTTCTGTGGTATATAAGTAGGCGTTATCACAAAATACGTAATTTGGCTTATTCTCTGTTAGTGGATAGAGTCAAGGGTGTGACACAACGGGCTGGGTCTTCTTACAAGGATGATGTTTCTGAGGATGGTAAACTTAATTTTTTTTTTTCTTAAATTACAGAAAATGTAGTCAAGGCTGTGTGGTAGGAGTTTAAAATGACAGATTGTTTAGCTGCTCTGGAAAGCTGTCCTACCTGAAGCAAAGTTTTCAGCTATTCCTAACTAAAGCACTGATCAGCATCTCTCTTTAAAAGCAGCTATAGCAACCGAGTAATACAAATTTCTGAACCACTTTTTGCTTAAGTATCAGTGCTTTTTTACAGCACCCCTATATTCAGAGCTTTTAAAGATGTGCTCTGTACTTTTATGAAGATAGAGACGATTGCTATTAGGAGGCATATAGCACATAGGTAATTTTCACTCAAATTAGAATTTGTGTAAACTGTTTAAATTGCTGTCTGCTGAGGAATACAATGTTGTGTATTGTTACTAAAACACATGTTTTAATCTGTATTGTGTATTGAGTATAGTGATGGCAAAATATTTGCACCCTTGTCTTTCAGCAAAACAGCTCCTAGAGCAATGTAAAGAAGTCTAGTGCATGCAGGGTTTTACAAAACGTTAATCAGGCTCAGTCCATAAAACTACACACATGTGGTTTGCGCAGCTAGGGCCACATGCACAGCTGGTGCAAATTTGCCTGGGTCCTTTAACATCAAAGACATGTGCTGTTTACATCAGGTGAGAGACTAGCCCCTGGTGTTTGCAGTCACCTGAATAATTTTGCTGTGTGACATACGGGGATGTTTTCTGTTACGCATATGGGATATACTGCAACAGAAATGGTTGTCTAACTTGTACATATTGCGCACTTAGACTTAGTAGACACATTGGACCTATATTTCATTTGAAAAGAGAATACCCACTCACCTCTTCTTTATTTTTTCCAAATATTAGTTTTTCCCAAGGTCACCTCTTCACTCAGAGGCTAAATTCCATATGTTAAAGTGCTGTCTAAATGTCATTTATTTTGCTGCACAAATAGACAAAATTACTGGTGGCTTATCACCATGGTAAATTCACGTTTATTTTTTGAGCATCAATGAAGTGAAAACATGCGGATCTCTGAGGCTAATGCAAGGGTTTTTTGCACATAAAAGCTTCTCTTTCTTTTACTCACTGTATGATAAATATCTGTACTCTCAAGCTCTAGTACAGGTTTTGGATACAAATAGTCTCAGGCAAGTGAAGAACAAGAACATGTTTTGTTTCTTTAAAGAATCAAACTGTTTACTGATGGAATAAGTCTTCCTTTTGATCAGTATGGTCAGGATTTGGTCACTGGTTGGGGATTTATTCCTTAATTTGCTAGTATTTTTAAATATGAAAGACAAAATTTCACAAAAAGCCAAACAGAATTAATGAAGAACTGCCACCCGATTTTGCCTGTGTGTTTCTGTTCCGATATGCAGTTTTCTGTGCTAGTTCTAAACCCCCTCGAGATTTTTTTTCTGTTTTTCTGGACCAGAGATCATGAACTCATCTCCTCACTCTAGAGGAGGTGGTGTGGTTGTACTTTCAAATGTTATCATAACTGAAGTTCTTTCGGGTTTAACTCTGGTATCCAGATGCAGCTGTTCTAGATTCTTTCTCTTCCTCAAACGCCAGGGGTTGTTTGGTTTGGGGTTTTTGTTTGTTTGTTTTATCCTCTTGCTGGCACCTCTGAAGATGAGGTGAGATCATCATCAGAGAGGGTTAACTGGAGCACAGTCACCACAGTACCATCGGGCTCTGTGTGACTAAGCTAAAATACAGTAGTTTAGCACAGACTCACAGTCTGTGCTGATATTAACTGCTCTGCCAAATGAGATCTGGATGAATTCTCTGTGTCTGCTAGAGGGAAAAAGCTGAAGAGCAAGTCTGAAGGATTGAAGTATGATTCTGTGCCTTCGCTTTTGTATTCCCAAGTGGGAAAATTGACTTGCTCTGCTGATAAAGTGGGTTTGAACTGAAGATCTGAAGCATAGCTGGAGACTTAGTTTTCTCCATTTTTGTGGTGGGCAGAGAAAGCTCTAAAAGAGGTATGGGTGAGGGACAGGAGATGTCTTTATTGACGTTAGATTTCCTAGATTTCATTTGTCAGAGCCCTATCTTGGATGTTTTGACAGGTATTCCTGTCAAAAACAGAAAGATGCTCACCTGAGGAGGCTTTTAGCATCTCCAGCGGGCAGCTAGGTAGAAGTTTAATACTTCTTTCAACTTAGCTTTGTTGTCATGGTCTCCCTCACTAAAAGAGCCTTCAAAGGAATATCTGAGTAATTGCGAGGTATGTGCTGTTTGTTAGATGCATGAGTCCCAGTACATACTTTGTAGTTGTAAGTAAAAATAACCTTAATTAAAGGTGCTTATGTGTTGCTTGTCTGAGCAGCTTATGGGCTTGAAGTCTGAGCAGATATTTCAGTGGCAAGGTGCCTGGTGAGCGGTGTAGCAAGGTGAACAGAAGTAATGACCTGGGCAGCTGTGAAGTGCAGTAGCCTAACAATGCACACACAGTGTTGGAGAAGGAAGGAAGTTACCCCTTTTGGCCAGGAATAATTTATTCTGAAATAATTGATCTTGCAGAGTTCACTGAATATGAAGGTCTTGCTTCTACTGAATCACACTTGGCTTTCTGAAATATATACAGGTACTGGATATGGCCCAGGCACTGCTACAGGGAACCTGGGGAAACCCATTGGCAAGGAAATATGTTTTAAAGTAATAAAACACTGCTGGACAGGTGATGTAAATGCTCATACATATAAATATGCAAAAAAGATCATTGACAACCTATTCTTCACATTTCAAAGAAAATTTGTTTTCCTTACTCTGAATAATCTAGAATCTGATAGTAGTTCCTGTTGTGTGAAGTAGTTTGAAGGCTTCTTTATTTGCCAACACCAAGCTAATAATTGGATGTTCTCAATGAAATCGAGGAAACACTAGAGGAAGTTCTTTAGCACCTGGGGGTTGTGTTGAAAATGTGGCAGGTTTCAAAGTAAGTACTTGAGTTTGAAAAGCAAGGTGTTTGTCCTCATTAGGGTTTTTGCTCAGCTTTATCAAATGCTGATTACCATGACTAAGGCTTGCAACTGAATTGGTTGCTCTGTTGCTTGTGAGGTACAGTCGGAGGTACAGTCACACGTGCCCACGGCAAATCTATTTTTATGGCAGCAGTAGATAAATTTAGTATAGTGGATGCACAGGGACATGGAAAAGCTTGGGCTAGCTGAGTTGAACGTATGTAGTGTTATATATGGGTATATAGTTAAAGTTATATGGTGTTAGACACTGAGGTTGCTGCTGAGAAAGAGTAGTGGCGTACACAGCCAAAGGAAGGTTAATATGTTTTAGCACATCACGGTGAGCTGACAGTATGGTTGGTGGCTGGCTACTACAGAAGAGAGGAAAATATAGATCACCTGCATGCATGGCATTTAATAACCAATACTTTTAAATAATTGACTGAGGAGCACTGCCTCACAAAATGTCAAATGCTGCTGTTGGCCTTTTACTACCCAGTATTGACTATAACCTAAAATTGGCCTTTAATCATTGTTTAAAGGACAACTTGAAAACACGTTGAGGTTAGGCATATGAGGCTTGATTCCGAGCTTACTTGCACAGATGTAAGTCATAAGTGAAAGTTAATTAGGAGATGAAAATTATTCCTAAAACACTCAGCATCTGTATTTTTAATATTTAATATGTTTATGCTTTGTCCTCTTCAGTCATGTAAAATGCTTTCTACTGCTAACTAAAACTAGCTCTGATGCTTGGGAGTCTCCAAATTAAAACTCTTTGGCAAAATTCTTGGCAAGAGCTGTTAACGTGAGAGTTTTGTCATAGAAGATGAATGTTCTGTAACTTCGGTTCCACTATGGCTAGAATTGAGCTTTTTGTCTCTCTCCAGTATTTACTGCTGTATTTTTTTTTCCTGCTACAGCTCCCCCTGTTCATGTGGGAATAAGAGTTCAGTAAAAGCAAGAGAACATACAACTTTTAGGAGAACTAGGAAAGCATCTTGTTAAAATACATACTTAGTAATGGATTTGATGTAAAAAGTGTTCATGTGTTAATTAAAAATACCCAACAAACTTAGCATAACTGGAATCTCTGGAGATGTTTTGCTGAACTAAGTATTTTTGCTTGCATATGTCTGAAACAAGGGTAGAGTGACAGAGAAATCATCTCAACGTTACCTCGTCAAGACTCTTTTTTCTCAGAATCAAGAGTTACCTGTTCAGAGGTGATACTTCAGAGCAGTCACTGCTTGTCAAGCAGCTTGATGGCTGCGCTGGTGTGTGACAAATTGGTGTTCTCCCTAGCTCTCATTGTATTAACTCAGTTTAGAGCTAAACTGAGACATTGCGAGATGAATGTGGACCTGAGTTTGAGAGCCCTAGTAAATGGTAGCCCATTTCCTAGGCTGTTGCTAAACTTTACCTCTTGCACCTAAAAGCAGCTCTTCTGTGTGAAGTTGTATATTCTGTAGAGGATCAAGATACTTTTAAAATTTGGCGCCAAGATGCCAGACTTGAATCAGACTGAAATTACGTAGATTAATGTAACAAATCAATATGACTAGTCACAAATCAGATTGACTGAAATAGTTTCTTGTCTTGATGAGCCATATTATAACATTGATTTTAATTTTATGAAAAATGGTTTAATGGCTCATTGATTCACGGCCTTGTATTTCCTGAAACACGTTTGCCAGACATCATGCGTTATAGCCCTTTCACTGACAGAGGCCTGCAAAAACAAAAAGTGAGGGCAGAAGAGAAAGTACCAAGTGCTTAAAACTCTGGTTGAACTGTCAGCGTGATCAGCCTTCCCAAAACTGTGTGTACTGATTTTTAACAAACCATAACTTGATCCTTCATAAGTTTTTAGTGCTGTAGAGGGAGCAAACTTTCCTTCAGTTTTGTTTTATTTTTTTTTAGGAAGGATGCCGTCAAACTTCTGTGCTAAAAAGTTACTAGGCTGCAGTTGGGTTTTTTTTGAAATATTTAAAGATCTATTTCTGCCAACTAATCACGTTATATTTTACCAACAAAGCTGTTTAATATTCTTTTTATACACTTCAAATTTAATTATCTTTTTATTGTAATCTTTTAACATATATTGATGTCATGGTTTAGGGCTGGGCTGGCCACTAAATCCTGGCCTAGACGCTCTCTGTTAACCCCTCTCTCCTCCCCAGAAGGGAAGAGAAAAGAGAATAAGGGAGAGAGACTATGGGTTGGAAAATAAAACTAACAGGTTTAATAAAACAATTATACTGATACTACAGGGTAATAATGTAAATAGGAAAATAATGGAATATATACAGATATGTACAAATATATCTACAAAACCAATATAAAATCCTCCCAATGACGAATATGTCACCAGAGGCTCTGGGAGCAGGCACTGGAAAAGTCCCAGACCGAACTCAGCAGCAGTGGGAGCTGATGCGGAACACACAAATCAGGATCAGAGGCAGACGAACCAGCAGGGTCTGCTGGGACTTTGGCCATTGCAGAATCGAGACAGAAGGAAGGGTCCAAGATGGAAGAAGGGTCGAGACCCTCGTGATCTCTCAGCTTTATACTTTGTATGATGTATGTGGATGGAATACCTCGTTGGTCAGTTCTCCCCCATAGGCACAGACACGGCACCCCTGGTGAGACAACTGACCTTGAGCTTATCTTCTAGCAGCATATACTGGAAAACCATGCTGCTGGTTTCAGCAAGTTCAGCCACTTCGAAGAGACTGAGCTGAAAAGTAAAATCACTAAATAGAAAATATGTTCTGTTTAGCTCAAACCAGGACAATTGACCAAACATTTAGTTAATGTTAACTGAAACACTTTTGGATTTCTGTAGCCATTCTGTTCACCCTTGCAGGAAAGAAAGCGTCAGGTGACAGCGTTGGGCAGTTTTCTTTATTCTTTCACCTTGGCAGGTTGTCTTTGTTTGCATCCTTGAGCTGAGCAGGGATAAACAAAAACTTCTTTGTGGTACAAATAATGATTAAAGCAGCTTTGAACTCAGTGTGAAACATAACTACCACAACAGAGAGAAATGCAGAATTCTTAAGAGCAGAACTATGGCTTACTATTTAAGGAAGAAAAGCTCAGTGGAGATTAGGATAAATGGAATTATTTTGCTTAAAGCATATTTGATGAGTTATATTTTTACATATAAGCTAATATTTATCTTGTTGTAAAGTTGGAAATAAAATCAAGAACTGAGTGTAAGAGTGCATTTAGAGAGGAGTGCTTTGGTAACCTTCTCCTTTTCTCTGGGATTGTTCAAGTATAGCTGGATTCATGCATTATTCCATTCCTGCCCCAAATAATGAACACAGATGTTTATGCTAACATGTTTTTATCTTGCAGGTTGAGTTTGAGTGGCTTAGGCAGTTCTGGTTTCAAGGCAAGCGGTATTTGAAGTGCACTGATTGGTGGCTTAAGCCTATGGCTAAATTGCAAGAATTCTGGAGAAACATGGAGATTATGGTAAGTACTAGTTTTATAGTCTAAAGCCTCTAAGAGTTTAATTCTGAGAGCACTTACGATTATGTTTTTAATCGTAGTGTAGTAACAAAATTTGAACTTTATTCATGACTTGTGAAAAGCAGAATCAGTGTCAGCCTTCCACTACCTCCTCTTTATTTTTCTCCCCCAGTAGCCAGAAGAAATGTGAGCAAAATAAGATCCTGAACCTAAACTGTATTGACAAATGTGTCTTGCTTATATCCTTACGGCTGCCTTAGAAGCTGCTTCGTAATCATTTCTGCTGGCCACAGTGTAGGCCTTGAGTTGCCCATAGCTGACTTGGAAAAGGTTGCAGTGTCACTGAGGATGCTGAATCAGATTTGTAGTAGAGGTGGTTTTGCATCTCTAGAGGTATGGTGCAACAAGAATATGCTCTTGAGTTTTGAGGAAAATGTTGTTTCTTGCTACCTGCTCAAGCCTGTTTTATGCTTTTCCAGCAGTGGCTGGTTCAGACTTGAGAAGTGTGGAAAAGTGGAAATTTCACTTGTGAAATCAGTTGCCACAAGGAATCAGTGGACATGAAACTTTCCTACAAAAGCAGAGGAGTTATTTACAGCTTGTTTATGTGGGTGTTTTCCCCCCTCATTTGTGTTCTTACGTGCTCACGTTCTTGAATGATATTTATAATTTTAAAAAAGTCTTTTGGTTTGTTTATCTTTCAAATGAGAACTTACTCTCTTGTAACATGGGCTTAGATGAGGTAGACACAGGAATGTTTGATTGTTATTTTATATCCATTGTGTGTTGAGAACATGGAGAAACAGCAAACTTGGGAATTCTCAAGGGCTAGGTTTTCTGCAATTGGTGTGACATTACCATGTGTCTCTAATTAGAAACACAGTGGTGTCAGTGGATCTCCTTTCAGCAGGCCCCAGAAAGATATTTATCTGCAAACTGAAGGTTGGGCCAAGACAGAAGCTGCTTCTAGTTTAAATTTTTAAAATTGCTTTAATGTTTTATGACTTATAACATATTAATCACAGTTAATTTCAGCTATTGAGGGAGACAGAAGAGAATGTTAATTGAGAATGTCTGTTTTGTTGAGTCTCTCGGTAAATTTGATGCTTGCTGTGTTTGAGACTTGGAGGTAGGGTGCGTTTTGTAGGGTTTACCCTGCAATTTGTGCTTTAGTGTTTCAGAAAGTGACAGTAGGGGGCAGTGTTGAGCCGCGGTTTTACCAACAGGCAGTGACTTAATAAAAATACATAGAAATGTAGCATTAACATCAAGAATTATCCCTGTTGCTTCAAGTTAGCTGTAATCTTAAGATTCCATAACACAGGAAATCAATTGTGGGTTAACAAATTCAACAGCAATTTAACATAAAAAGTGCTGTGTTTTGGTGCATGCTTAACTTCCACAGCATTAAGTTAAATCAAAAAGGTATTTCTGAATGTACCCAGTAGTCTACAGTCGATGTTTTTTCTCCAGATGTATCATTTTAGCTGGATGTTTCTTAAAAAAAAAAATTGAGGCAAAATGCTTAAATTAAAAACTTCTTTGAGTTGTTGATCTTGTCTCAGTAGAGTATTACTGCTTAAAAGGAATTATTTCTTTAAAGAAAATACTTAAGCAGTGTATTTTTCTTCCATTTGTGTGTAAGCTGAACAACTCTTGACTTGGATTTTTTTTAATATATGTGTCTGGATTGATACAAAAGTCAGTCTTTATTTTTTTTTCCTCCTACCTGCCTTGTTAAGTAATGCAGTCTCAAAGAAGACGTAAAGAGGTCTTAAAGAAGAAAAGGAAATATTTTCAGATTCTGCTCATTGCAGTTGCTCCCGTGTCACAGCAAAGTATGATTCTGCAGGAAGTATAACCCAGTGTCTTCAAACCTGTGGGCTTTATTTAATATTTTTGTACGTTATAGCAAGCACACAATTTTATCATAATGTTTATTCCTGGCATTTCTTTCCCTGAGGATAGTTTTACTTAGAGCTCGCTCTTGTGATGTAAATGTTAAACCTTTCATTTGAATGACATTCTGATAAAACATCACATTTCCCACAATATTACCTCATGAATTTATGAACCATGAAATCCAAAGCAGTTTAACCAATCTTCTTCTTCCCCCCACCTCCCTTGAAAATATGAAGGCTATTCAAATGTTTGAGGGTTTTTTTTTTAAAAGTCATCCAAGATTAACACGTTATCGTCTGCTACATCAGGATAAATGCTCGCTGGATTCAAAGGCAGAGTTACCATTTGAAAAAAGACTCGACAAGCTTTGCTTTCTGGGTAAAGAGAACTCTGAAAAGCTGAAATCTCATGTGATGTGAGGAAGTCTTGCTGTAGCTGTTCTGAGATTCAGCGAAGAGACAATTTGTCTCTCAGGGTCTGATACCATGCAAACCTTGCAATCTGACATTTATTTTAGCTATGAAAATCTTTTAACACCACACCAAATCAGTAAGAGCTGCAGAAGTCCTGTAGTCTTTTTTGGTTTATTTTGGTTTAGGCTGATTCACATTCAAATAAGTGAAATGTAAATAAATGACATGGTTTTCTTTGTGGAATGAAAAGTAGGCATATATGATTATACTTAATTATCGAATCTTTAGAGACTTTTTTACCATATCTAGTGTTCCTTTGAAAAATAGAAAATGAAGACCCTAGTAGCGCTGTATGGTGTGAATTGTGTTTCCTACTTTGACAGTCCATTTAGCAATGTAGCGGTGTATTTATATGGCAGTTGGCCTTAATAACCTTTATTGACTTTAGTGGGTAAGAGCCAAGCCTGGGATTATTAAAATGTATCCATTTCATTGTAGTATAAAATCACAACATATATAATTATGTTAGGTAGGCTTGGCTCCATTTAACTCCACCTATTTATGCAGGAATTTGGCAAGATGTAAAAAAACTGTGGAACTAAAATGTAGAGAAAAGTATGACTGATGTGGAGTTATATTTAACAGCATAACCATTTGCCTGCTGAAAAGGGACTACTTAAAGGAATGAAACATAGATCTTAAAGATCTGGTTTTTAATGCTATAACTGAAACACAAGTAATTGTTACACCATTTGTTTCACTTTTTGGCAGCCTAAAATACAGCAAACTGTAGCGAAATGCAGCGCACCTTTTAATTTATCAAAGTAGTGTAAAAAGAGCTGTGTGTGCAGCGTGCAAGCTGCGCACTTACACTGAGCAAAGTGGCTTTTCACACGAATGGAGATTGTCCTGCACAGCTTTTGTCGTGACTTGTAACATTTAAAAAACTATATTTACAAGTCATGTTATTGTTACTGTTAGTCTCAATATCATGCTTTTAGCAGTTTATACAGCTAAATTGAAATCGGAGAGCAAGGCTATTTTCTTGTAAATGATTTTTCTTTCCTTTTTGAGGTCTATTTAATTATTGGCTACTGTTGCTCTGTATGAAGTGTGTCACAGTTTCTGCTCTAAGCCACTGCTGTCAGGGGCTTACAGCCTGACACTCAGAATTGAGTCTAGGCTGAAACTTGAGCTACCAAATCTCAGCCCAGGGCCATCATATATTAATATAGGTATTTCCTCCCTTCCCTACCCCCCCAGATTAACAAAGGTTTAAATATGCGTTTCAATCACAGTATTTCAGGTCCAGAATAACCATGAAAAGCTACATGGCAAAAGATGCTTTTAAGAGGAATCCTCCTAGCTTTTGTAGACTTTGGCATTTTGAACGGGTGATCGACTATATTTAAAAATAATAATTAATGGGCTCACAAACAGGCTGGCTGGTTGGTTTAGGTTGGGTGGGTTGGGTTTTTTTGTGGGGCGGGGAGGGGGAGGTTGGGGTGTTTTGGTTTTTTAGGGGTTGTGGTTTTTTTTTTTTTAGAAAATACAAAGCAACCTCGCTGATGTTTGAATTGCTTTTACCTTGTCAGCCCTAGTTCAAGAAATTCTGAGGTATTATTTGCATTTCTTTTTTAGCTTTCCTGTTGTGCTTAGATACTGCAGCATCACACTTTTATTGCAGGGCCATGTGGTGATGGGTGGTCATATTTGGCTAATGAGCTGTGAAAGGTAGGCACAACATGGCAGCTCAAAGACCCAAATTTTAGCCGTATTTGTTATCTTTTTGGGCTCTTCTTATCTGTTTAGGCCAAACATTTAAAATAAATGTATTTTTGACAGGTTATAGTTTATGTACACAAGGAGTCAGATGCTTCTGGAAATGTACCTTTTATCTGAAACAACAACAAAACCTGATCCTCAAGACTGGTTTTTCTTTTTCCTTTTTTTTTTCCTTGTTTTTTCTTCTTTTTTTTTTCCTTTTTGACACTAATTTCCTTGACCCCAATATTTTTAGCTGTCAGAAATGGGAGAAAAGATACAGCACTGTGTGTAGAAGGATCACCACCAATCTTAAAAACAAACACACACACACACAAAAGTAAAGTTGTATTGCACATCTTTCAGGAAAAAAAAATGTTTACAATTCTGAGGGAATTCAGACTTAAGCTTCCAAAACAAAGTGTGTGCTGAAAGCACAAAGGGCTGTGTTTATGATTCTCTTTGAAGTGTTTTTGCAACAGGATAAGGAAAATTTTAGAAACTGTCTGATAGTGTTCAGGGTAAATACTTAAACCCCTTTAGAGAATTTCACACACAGATACTGTGCAGCAGAAAAAAGGATACTTATGTTTCCTAAAGCTGCTACAGCCTACAGCTTTGTACTTAAAGACAGAGGTGTTGAATAGAATTCTACTGAGGATACATCCAGTGACAATATCTGCAGGAACATCAGAGCAAACCAGTGGATAGCACTTTCTGTTTTTAACCCTTGTGTGAGCTGGTGGAGATCTGAGCTGCGTTGATATGAGCCATATAACATTTCTATTATAAACAGGAATTGTTAAAAGGGCACTCTTCCAGCTCGAGCAGCGTACTGTGAGAATTATGTTGAGAACATTACGGTTCTAATGTAAGCTGGCATAAGCCAGGAAATGTTTAGGACCATTTGTGTCCTATGGGAAA